GAAACCCAAGGAGGGGTTGCTATGAGTCGGGTCTGACTCCACGGCACATAACGAGATGATGATAACATTTAAGATACTTTCCATTTCAGGTCACAGGACACCAGCTTCAAAGTGAATTAATCAAGGAAAATATTATATTTCATCTCACAAAATAGAGCTGGGGCAGGCTCAGGGTGACTTGGTAGCTCAGCAATGTCAATTCAAGTTCCTTGCTTCTCTCTGCTCTGCCATTTCCAGCATTGTTCCCATACTAACAGCTCCTATGTCATCTGATTTTAAAAATAATGCCCCTCAAGGGAAAGATGAATCAGGTTTCAGCTTATGCAGTAACTGGGTAAATGATGCTATCTTCACTGTGGAATCCTGAAGAAGAGGCAGTTTTGGCACTGGGTGAAGCAATCGAGGGTTTGTTTTAGGTGTGTTAACTTTGACGTGCCTAAGGAGCTCTAGTGGTGGAGTGCCTGAGGCATTTGACTGATAGCCAGAAAGGTGATGGTTCAAACTCACCAGCTGCTCTGCAGAAGGAAGGCTGGGCAATCTACTTCCATAAAGATTTACTGCCTCAGAAACGCAGTGGGGGTTGCTCTGAGTCAGAATTGACTCAACGGCATTGGGTTTGGTTTTTGGTTTTGGTATCAAGCACGCAGATTAAACATCATATGAAGACGGCAAGTGGGAGTTAGATCTAAGAGTCTGGAGTGCAGAGATTTCAGGGCTGGAGATAATAAATTTGGGAGTCTTATCTGTATGGAGTAAAATAGTCACTGAAGTGGATGAGTGCCTAAGGGAAGAGTGTAGTTAGGCAGAAGGAGAACCCAGGATCAAGCCCTGGGGTATATTTAAGGGCCTTACAGAAAGGAGCTCTGGTAGCATAGTGCCTAAGGCACTTGACTGCTAACCAGAAGGCTGGCGGTTCAAACCCACCAGCCACCCCTCGGAAGGAAGGTTGGGCCCTCCTACTTCCGTAGTGATACTGCCTCGGAAACCCAAGGAGGGGTCCCTATGAGTTGGGGCCGACTCGACGGTAAATAACAACAACAACAGAAGACGGTAAATAACAACAACAACAGAAGAGAAGGAGCCAGTTCTCCTCTCAGGACACTGAGAAGAAGCCACAAAAATAGGAGGAAGACACACCTGGTGGCACAGGCAATCCTGTTACCAACATCTGACTTATGGACAACTCAAATGTGCCCTTTAATGGTATGTAAACTTGCCTCACTTTGAAACAGTTGAACCAACCTCTACTCAAAACAAATTCTTTATCACAATCACTCTTACTTGCTGCACTTGAAGCTTTTAAATCATTGAAAAAGCTTCAAGTCTGTTTCTTGCACTAAGGTAAGACTAAATAAGAACCTATGCACCTGTTCCAACTTACCTCTGAATTAGACTTAAAGATAAACTTAGGAATGGATCTTGTTTGTAAGCTGGGGACTGCCTGTACTAGGGAAGCCAAGAGGAGGAGTTTTTCAAGGAGTGTTCATCTTTGCCAAACGTTGCTAAGAGATCAAAACAATGTGATTTGGATTTGGGCACATGGAAGTCACTACGGTCTTGCCAAAAGTAGTTTCACTAGAGATAAAGAAACCACTCTGAGGAGCTTGAGGAGGTCAGGAAGGTGGAAGCAGACAGTATGGACCAGTGTTTGCAAAGTGTGGCCCCAGATCTAGCAACATCAACATCACCTGGGAACTTGTTAGAAAAGCAAATCCTTTGACCCCGCCCCAGATCTACTGAATCAGACTCTAGGGTGGAGCAATCAACATGTATTTTAACAAGCCCTCAAGGTGATTCAAATACCTGAAGTTTGAGAACCACTGATGTAGTCAATTTAAGAATGAATGAGGAAAAGTTTTGTTTTGTTTGTTTCTAGACAGGAGATGCTACAGGTGTTTCTGAATTAATGGGGATGAACTGGACCTACTGGATCAGAATCTATGGGGTGAAGCACAAGCTGTACTTTAATAGGCTCCAGGTTCTCAAGCACACTCATGTTTGAGGACCACTGTTACAGCCAGCTCAGAAAGGGGCAAGAGAAAGTTGGGGTTTTTGTTTTCTTTTTTAAAGACAGGAGATACTGCAGGTGTCCCTGGCTTGATGGGGATGTTCCAATAAAGAGAGAACGGAGGCTGCAGGGGAGCATCCAAGTGTGGGAGTGAGGTCCCTGAGAAGGTGAAAGACGAGGACAGAGTCCTAGTGGAGTGGTGCCTCTTCGATATGAACAACGGTGGTGTTTTTCTCCCTTGTAACAGAAGGAAGACAGAGAATGAAGGGGTGGAGTGAGACGGGTGGTGGATTTGGTCGGGAGAGAAAAATTAGGGAGGTCTCCATGCTTCAGTTTTCTCAGAGAAGTAAAAAGTGAGGTCAAAAGCTAGAGGATTATTGAAAGATTGAGTAAAGAAAAGAAGGTGTGAAATGGTCATCTCAAAGAGTGGAAAAGGAAATGTATAGGATTGCTTGTCAGTATTACAATCCCACCTGATAGTTATGCCATCAGGGTAAAGTTAAACCAATCAGAACAGTTGCGTTCCTTTTTCCAACAGTCTTCTGCATTAATGCAGGCAGGCATAGTGTATGCAGATAGCCATATTTTAACCAGCATTGGAATTTAGCCAGGACAAGGACATTAAGATTATTGGCAAGAGGGTGATCATAGTGATGGACTGTTAAGTCCAAGTTTGGCATGATGGAACCAAGGACAGAGGGATGATAATCCAAAACCCACTGCTATCGAGTCAATTTAGACTCATAGCTACCCTACAGGACAGAGTAAAACAGCCCCAGAGTATTTCCAAAGCTGTAAATCTTTTTGGAAGCAGACAGCCTCCTCTTTCTCCCATGAAGCAGCTGTGGGTTCAAACCACTGACCTCTTGGTTTACAGCCAAATGCTTTAGCCACTGCATCACCAGAGCTGCTTGTAATGATGATAGAGAAGAAAAAGTGGGAGTGAAAAGGTGGGATTGAAGGTCCTCAGGCAAAGAATTGCTA